GACCTGGCTGGGAGTGCTCCGAGCAGTGTCATTGGTGCCCACATGAATAAGGAGCATGGGATAGTGGTCTGTGGGTTTAAGGAGCTTTGGGATCCTCTCCGTAATGTCCCAGATGCGGGCCCCTGGGAAGCAGCAAACTTGCCGGGCTAAGGGGTCGGGATGGCAGATTGGGCCCTCAGTCCCCCTCAGGAGGGATTCTCCCACAACAAACACCTTACGTTGTGTCTTGGGGAGAGCAGGGGCGGTAGCTGCAGTTGGGCCCATGTTGCCTGTGGGGGCTGGCAACTCAGCAGGCTCTGCTGGGGCAGCAAGAGGTGCGTACCTGTTGCTCAGTTCTGGTGGGGTAGGGGCCTTGGTGCGGCGGGCCTTAGGGCCCTTGACCACCTTGGTCCATGCACCTGGCTGGACACAGCAGGAGGTCCCAAAGTCCTCCTTTGGCATGGAGGGGGACTGTGGTCTGCCTCCCGGGGGAGAAGGGCCTGGCAGTAGGAGTCTATCTCCTGCTCTCAGTCCCTGATGGCACACAGTCTGTTTGCTGATGACACCAAATTCTGGGGTAAAGCATCCACACTCGAGGACAGGAGGGTGAGCCAGGCAGATCTTGACAGGCTCATGAAATGGACGGATAAGAACCTGATGGTGTTCAACACCGAAAAATGCAAGGTTCTCCACCTTGGGAGGAAAAACCTGCAGCATGCTTTATAGGCTTGGCAGTGCTACGCTGGCTAGCACCACAGATGAAAGGGAGTTGGGAGTCATGATTGACCACAAGATGAACATGAGCCTTCAAATGTGATTCTGCGGCTAGTAAGAGTGAGCAAAACACTGGCTTGCATCCATAGAAGCTTCTCAAGCAAATCCTGGGACATCATTCTTCCATTGTACTCGGCCTTGGTGAGGCCACAGCTGGAGTATTGGGTCCAGTTTTGGGATCTACAATTAAAAAAGGAAGTGAAGAAGCTAGAGAGAGTCCAGAGGAGAACCACACGCATGATCAGAGGTCAGGATAACAGACCTTAGGATGAGAACCATGGGACTCTTCAGCCTGGAAAAAGTGCAGGCTCAGGGGTGATCTGGTGGCCACCTATAAGTTTATTAGGGGTGCTCATCAGGATCTGGGGGAACATCTGTTCAGCAGAGCACCCCAAGGGATGACAAGATGGAACCGTCACAAACTCTGCTGTGACTGATTCAGGCTGGACATAAGAAAGAACTTCCTCACTGTCCGAGCCCCCAAGGTTTGTAATAGACTGCCGCCAGAGGCAGTTCAAGCACCCACTTTGAGCGCCTTCAAGGCACATTTGGATGTATATCTTGCTGGGATCCTATGATCCCTGTTGACTTCCTGCCCCTGGGCCAGGGGGCTGGACTTGATGATTCTCCAGGGTCACTTCCAGCCCAAGTGTCTATGAAATATACAAGAGTAAGACCATGTTTTGAGCTATTATGCAAGCACCTCTAGATACACTATACAAACACACAAAATCAGGACAAATTATATTTAAAATACAATTTAAATAAGTCATAGTAGATGTTTGATTTATTTATAGTATATGATTTCACCCCCTCCCCACCCAGTTTCAAGATGGCATCCCCACCCCCTCCCAAAAGGACTTCTGAGGCCAGGGGAGGAACTTCCAGTGGCAAAGGTCATGGGTTAGGGAGTGGGACTTCTGGTCTCAAGAGGGAGACCAGGGGATGGGACATCTGTTAAGGGGCAGAGCTTCCCTTGCAGCCCTTGACAGCTCACCAAAACTTACTAAGTGGGCCTCCAGCTGAAATAATGGCCCATCCCTGCTTCAATCCCCAGTGCTTTTTTCCTCTTTTCTTTTTGTTGCAAAACAGTTGGTTCATTAGTGTGAAGGAGTGAATGCATTGGCTATCCACCCCAGGACTAAAGATGGAGTTGGATCCGCCAGTGGGGGTCATGACAGGCACAGATGCTGTGCAGCAGACCTTGGGCCTGGTAGTGAAGTTATTGCCGCATCAGCAGCAGCAGTCAGTCAGACAGATGGTGGTAGATGAGCAAATGATGAGACAACAGGAGATAATACAGCATAGTTAGGTGGATTTTTGGGTACCAAAAATGACACCAGATGACCCCAAAGCATTTTTAGAGAGTTTTTCAAGGGCCACAGTAGTGGCAGGATTAGATCTGTCAAAGTGAGCAGCCAAGTTAGGAGTACTCTTAGTCAGACAGGCACAGGCAGCATATGGTAATACGTCAAGGTTAGATGCTCCAAATTATGAGAGAGTGAAGGAGGAAATTTGATATTGTTTGGATATCACCCCAGAGAGATACAGACAAATGTTCAGAGCACAGAAAAAGAAGAGAGAACCCCTAGGACCCTGGTACAAAGACTAGTGGATTTACTGAATAGGTGGCTTAAGCCGTTAGTCACATCCTTGGAGCAGGTGATTGGCACAGTCTTGTTAGAACAGTACTTTCCTCTAGATCAGTCAGGAACTCAGAGATGGGTAAATAGTCATTGCCTCAAGACCTCCAAAGAGGTTCTGCGATTGGCAGAAGATTTTAATTGCATGCAGGGGGAAGGGCCTCGAGAAAAAAATTGATAGGTCCAACAGTAGTTTGAGCGGTAGGACTGGAGAGCACCAGGGGGACTGTGACAGTAAGGGGCTTAACTGGCCAATAGTGGCTGGAGTCACTTGCTTTAGATGTGGTAAGAAAGGGCATAGGACTAGAGATTGTCTGAGTAATCCACATCTATACAGTTTTCAATGTAATGCATGGTGAGAAGGGAAAAGTGAGTCAATAAGGGTACAGGAACCACCTCCAGTGGAGATGATGAATTAGTTTGGGGAGAGTGCTGGAGGGAGGACAATGAGCTAAGCCAGTGTTAGTGGAGGTGGCTGGGCAAGTGGTCTGGGTGATTATAAGTATGGGGTATGACCATATGTTGGTGTGAAAAGGAATAATACCTTTAAGTGGAGGAGTTAGACTAATACTTATTCAGATGATATGCTTACATGGACAAGGTTGCACATAACAGAGGATAGGAGTGCTATTAATAGTAAAAGCGGTCACTTGGGAATGGCCGGTAGGGATAGCAGGTGGCCTGTTATATCCTGTAATCTTGGGCCAAGATAGCCTGGAGATCTATCAATTGTTGGCAAAGGAACAAGAGCAAGTAGCCTGTAGGAAAGGACTTATAGGCCAGGTAAACACAGAGGGATCAGAAAGGGAGGATTCTGATCTATGGGATAAGAGTACATTTGTGGGCAGAGTTCAATTCTGGGAAGCCCAAAAGGGAAGAGCCAGCATTCCTAGCCATCTAGGAGTCAGAGACTGCCAAAAGAGAGCAACAGGTGATAGGCCCAAAACTGTGCGATCACCTGCCATGTTGCAAGGTGAGGAAGGGTTTGTTGTACTGACTTAAAGAGCGGGGGGGGGGGGGGGGGGGGGGGGGGGAGAGATGAGATGCTAGCCCAGATTATGGTACCTCAGTCCCATAATCATGATTTATTGTGATTGGCTCAAGCAAGCCCACTAAATGGTCACTTGGGTAAAGAGAAAAATCATAGCTTGGGTGAAATGTAGTTTCTTCTGGCCAGGATGCTATCAAGTTGTGGAACAGTTTTGTAATAGATGTCCTGAGTGTCAAAGGGTCAGCGTAAAGAAGCCTCCAAGGGTACCCTTGCAGATGATGCCCATAATAGCCGAACCATTTGCATGTATAGCTATGGATGCGATAGGTCCACTCCCAAGAAGTGCAGAAGGGCATCAGTTCATATTACTGCTGATTAATTATGTGACCAGATACCTGGAGGCAGTTCCGTTAAGGGCCATCACAAGTCTGAAAGTGGCGGAGGAATTGTTGAAATGGATTTTGAGGGTAGGACTGCCTTGTGAAATTGTTACTGACCAGGGCATGAACTTCATGTCCCACGTGACGAAGGATTGTTCCAGGTTCTGCATATAAAATATTTGCATATGGCGATTTATCATTCCCAGACCAATGGCCTGGTGGAGCATTTTAAATGGGACATCGAAAGCTATGTTGAGGAGATGCACTCAGGAGGACCCTTGACAATGGAATCTACTTATCCCACCATTATTGTTTGCAATTAGAAAGGCACCCCAAGCTTCACTAGGCACTGTTTGTGTTAGTATATGGGCATACCCCACAGCGCTTATTAGGTGTTGTTCATGAGGAATGGGAAAAGAAGGGAGATGAAGGGACAACTCCTTCCCAGTATGTGACAATTCTGAGAGAACAACTTACGATGGTGCATCAGTTGGCAGGTGACCATGTAAAGGAGCTGCAAATAAAGTAAAAAAATGCAGTATGATCAAGGAACTAAAGAACAATAATTTTAGGTTGGGCAAAGAGTGTTAGTCCTGTTACCCAGTTCAACCAGTACGTTTCTGACCTGTTGGCAAGGACCTAACAGATTATATGCCACGTTGGCCTGGTAGATTACAAAGTGTCACGATCAGGGCATCAGATGGATAGGAAGATATTTCATATTAGCCTGTTGAAGTTATGGTAGGAGCCTAAAGGATTGTTGGCCACTCCTATTCCAGAGAAAGAGAGGTTTGGAAGATAATTAGGAGATATGGGGGCAAGCAGATTAGATGCAGGGGTGGTTGTGATAGGGTCTGAGTTGACAGATATGCAGCTAAAACAAGTCCTAGAGAAATATGCTGAGGTGTTCAGTGAGATCCCAGAGAGAAAAAAGGATGCAGTATATGGAATTAAAACACTAGAAGGGGCCACTGTGCGGAAAAGGTGGGGAAGGCTACCACACCACCGTTATCAGGTGGTAAAAGATGAGATAAAATGCTCCAACAAGAGATAATTAAGACCTCCAGAAGTCTGTGGAGAAGCCCTATAGTGACTGTCCCCAAAACAGATAGGTCGCTCTGTTTGTGTATAGATTTCCATAAAATTAACACCGTCACTCAGTTTGATGCATTTCCCATTCCACAGATTGGGGAATTATTAGAAAGAATAGGAAAGGCAGAGTTTCTCTCTATCTTGGATTTTGCCAAGGGATATTGGCAAATCCCTGTAAAACCAAAGGATCAGGCCAAAATGGCATTCAGAAAACCATGGGGACTTTATGAGTTCTGTAGAATGCCCTTCAGCCTAAATGGGGCAGCTGCAATGTTTCAAAAAATTGCAGATTGACTGCTAGCCCCACATCATGAATATGTGGCTGACTATATTGTCAACATAGTCATATATACTAAAACCTGGGAGCAATACTTGGCAGCTGTCCAGGCAGTGTTGCAGGAGTTAAAACAATTGGGATTGAAGATTAACCCTAAGAAGTGCGCATTGGGGCAACACAAGATGGATTATTTGGGTTTTTGTGTGGGGCAAAGGCAGATTAAACTGTTAGTTGACAAAGCTGAAGTAATTAAAAGTTACAAGGTTCCTCAAACTAAGGAGCAGATGAGTGCATTTTTAGGTTTAGCAGGATATTACAGGAGGTTTATTCCAAAATTTGCAGAATTAGCAGTCCCACATACTAAACATGATTAAGGGCAAGGGGAATAGCCCAATAAAATGGACAGAGATACAACAATGAGCCTTTGAGGCAGTTAAGAAGGCCTTATGTAAGGATGTTATACTGCCCTTCATTCTTCAGGTAGATGCACCATGGCAGGCGTTAGGGGCTGTGCTTTCCCAAAGGAACGAGAGACAAGAAAGACCAATAGCCTACACCAGTAGGAGATTAAAACGGCCATGAAAGAAGGTATACTGGTGTAGAGAGGGAGTGTTTAGCTGTGAAATAGAGTATAGAGTAGTTTCAATATTATTTATTAGGGCATGAGTTCATAGTTATGTTATAATGGATCATGCACCATTGAAATGGCTGAAATCCACCGAAATGGCCAATGCCCATGTAACACAATGGGCTTTGGCTTTGCAGCTATTTCAGTTTACAGTTGAATATTGACCAGGTAAAGATAATGCGGTGGCTGATTTTCTCTCTCATTGCCATTCAAGGGAGCCCCCCAAAACACAGCTGTGTCAGGAGTGCAAGTGACAGCCCAGGAACAAAACTCCCCTTATGAGCAAAGAAGAGCACCTAACGGCATCTTAAGCAGAGGGAGGGGGGAGGAATATGTGAAGGAGTGAGAGAAAGTAAACAGAGCCCCTGGGGTACTTTATGTACCAGGCAGCTGAGGCTAAGGGAGGAAGGGTGGATGGCAGTGGCAGAGAGGGAAAATGAAGGTAAGCAGTGTGAGCAAATGGAGACCAGAAGAGGAAAAGGAACCACAGCAACACCTCAAGAGCAGTCTCTCACTCTGGATTGGAGGAGGGAAGCTGCCAGGAGGTATTTCCAGCCCTGGAGAGGGGCATAGAGGATCTGTTCCCTGCATTCTGCTGAGAGGAGCAGCTGAGAATTCTTGCAAGCAGGTACTGCTGACCCTGTCAGAGAAACACTGTGGGAGTGACCAAAAGGAGGAGGCATGTCTACACGAGGATTTTGAAAAGTACTGAAATGGAGTAGCTGCTGAGGATCCTGGTGGGAAGCAAGGGAGACTTACTTCTCAGGTTAGATCCTCCCTGGTGGGGCTTTGCTCTGCTCAGGAGAGAGAGATCCTACCAGGGACTGTGTACGCTCACCAGTAGACTATGTGGATCTGTAATGAGCAGAATTAGATTGATTGGAATTTCTTTTTTTTTTATATCCCCCTTTTTGTTAATTTGTTGTTTTTTTTTTAATATGAGAGATTAATCCCAAGGTAAAGGAGGAGACACGGACTGACTCTAAAGAGAGACTGAAACAGTTGTGTTCGGTGTGTTTGGACACAGTATAAGGCCATGCCTTGGATGGGGTGTGTGTTAGACTATGACTATGGTCATCCAGGTGGCAGGCTACAGGGGGAAGAGCATTAGAGAATCGGACAGGCTAAAGAGAAATTTCAAATTCTATCTGGAGTGGCTAGGGTGGGGTAAAGGGGAGGTTTGGAGCCTCACAGAAGACAGAGATCGAGACCTGAAGGATCATCTTGGGGTATCGCCTCCTATTAACATTGTACCACAGTCGTGGCAGATGAGAAAAGTAAGATCAGTCTCCTAGC